TATGCATTTGCAATACGACAGCTAATGTTGTGCTCAGAATTGACCATGTTAATTCACATTTAGATTATAAAGTTCCGTTTTAGAACTGTATATTAATTCTGGGTATTACAAATTTCCCGTATAAAGTTTAAAAAGAGCCTAATTTACATTCTCAAATGTGCTATATACAGGAGCTATATGGGCTTTGCACTTTTTGATAATTACTAATACATTCTTTAGAAAGGCTAAGAGCAATAGGAAGGGGGGGAGAGGGAATGACATGAATAATGAAAAAAAGTATAATAATATGCTAAATATATTCAGCCAACACACACAATAAATACTTTACATAATTTTTCACACTAGAACGATTAAACAACATTCCACTACCCACAAATATTTGAAGCAGGGAAATTGAGGGATATTCCCAGAACGTCTAAAAAAAAAATCGGGAAGAGCATTGACAAATTAAAGGATTTAAAAGCTCCAGATGTAGATGGAATTCATTCTAAACGTTGTAAAGGAACTGGCAGATGAACTTTGTCGACCGCTCCTCACGTGGCCCCAACTGCGAGGTTTTGATGAAATACAGTAACTGTACCCTAAACTTGATCATTGAATGTTGTCGGGAGGTAGGGTTAAAAGTCTCACGACTCTCAACCTTTTTTGTACAGTCAGTATGGTCTAGGTATAGTAGTGGACGCCCTGAAGGCTCATGGAACCCTGGCTGTCTGGGTTCAAATCCTTCAGGGGTGTGCAGTTTTCGGTTATACATTATGTGTGTGTGTATATATATATATATATATATATATATATATATATATATGTCGTACCTAGTAGCCAGAACATACTTCTCAGCCTACTATGCAAGGCCCGATTTGCCTAATAAGCCAAGTTTTCATGAATTAATGTTTTTTCGACTACCTAACCTGCCTAACCTAACCTAACCTAACTTTTTCGGCTACCTAACCTAACCTAACCTATAAAGATAGGTTAGGTTAGGTTAGGTAGGGTTGGTTAGGTTCGGTCATATATCTACGTCAATTTTAACTTCAATAAAAAAAAATTGACCACATACATAATGAAATGAGTAGCTTTATCATTTCATAAGAAACAAATTAGAGAAAATATATTAATTCAGGAAAACTTGGCTTATTAGGCAAATCGGGCCTTGCATAGTAGGCTCAGAAGTGCGTTCTGGCTACTAGGTACGACATATATATATATATATATATATATATATATATATATATATATATATATATATATATATATATATATATATATATATATATATATATATATATATATATATATATATATATATGTCGTACCTAATAGCCAGAACGTACTTTTCAGCCTACTATTCAAGGCCCGATTTGCCTAATAAGCCAAGTTTTCATGAATTAATGTTTTTTCGACTACCTAACCTACCTAACCTAACCTAACCTAACTTTTTCTGCTACCTAACCGAACCTAACCTATGAAAATAGGTTAGGTTAGGTTAGGTAGGGTTGGTTAGGTTCGGTCATATATCTACGTTAATTTTAACTCCATTAAACAAAAATTGACCTCATACATAATGAAATGGGTAGCTTTATCATTTCGTAAGAAAAAAACTAGAGAAAACATATTAATTCATGAAAACTTGGCTTATTAGGCAAATCGGGCCTTGCATTGTAGGCTGATAAGTGCGTTCTGGCTACTAGGTACGACATATATATATATATATATATATATATATATATATATATATATATATATATATATATATATATATATATATATATATATATATATATGTCGTACCTAGTAGCCAGAACGCACTTCTCAGCCTACTATGCAAGGCCAAATTTGCCTAATAAGCCAAGTTTTCATGAATTAATTGTTTTTCGACGACCTAACCTACCTAACCTAACCTAACCTAACTTTTTCGGCTACCTAACCTAACCTAACCTATAAGATAGATTAGGTTAGGTTAGGTAGGGTTGGTTAGGTTCGGTCATATATCTACGTCAATTTTAACTAAAATAAAAAAAAAATTGACCTCATACATAATGAAACGGGTAGCTTTATCTTTTCATAAGAAAAAAAATAGAGAAAATATATTAATTCAGGAAAACTTGGCTAATTAGGCAAATTTGGCCTTGCATAGTAGGCTGACAAGTGCGTTCTGGCTACTAGGTACAACATATATATATATACTGTATATATATATATATATATATATATATATATATATATATATATATATATATATATATATATATATATATATGTTGTACCTAGTAGCCAGAACTCACTTCTCAGCCTACTATGCAAGGCTCGATTTGCCTAATAAGCCTAGTTTTCATGAATTAATGTTTTTTCGACTACCTAACCTACCTAACCTAACCTAACCTAACGTTTTCGGCTACCTAACCTAACCTAACCTATAGAGATAGGTTAGGTTAGGTTAGGTAGGGTTGGTTAGGTTCGGTCATGTATCTACGTTAATTTTAACTCAAAAAAAAATTGACCTCATACATAATGAAATGGGTAGCTTTATCATTTCATAAGAAAAAAATTAGAGAAAATATATTAATTCAGTAAAACTTGGCTTATTAGGCAAATCGGGCCTTGCATAGTAGGCTGAAAAGTGAGTTCTGGCTACTAGGTACGACATATATATATATATATATATATATATATATATATATATATATATATATATATATATATATATATATATATATATATATATATATATATATATGTCGTACCTAATAGCCAGAACGCACTTCTCAGCCTACTATTCAAGGCCCGATTTGCCTAATAAGCCAAGTTTTCATGAATTAATGTGTTTTCGTCTACCTAACCTACCTAACCTAACCTAACCTAGCTTTTTTTGGCTACCTAACCTAACCTTACCTATAAATATAGGTTAGGTTAGGTTAGGTAGGGCTGGTTAGGTTCGGTCATATATCTACGTTAATTTTAACTCCAATAAAAAAAAATTGACCTCACACATAGAGAAAAGGGTTGCTTTATCATTTCATAAGAAAAAAATTATAGTAAATATATTAATTCATGAAAACTTGGCTTACTAGGCAAATCGGGCCTTGAATAGTAGGCTGAGAAGTGAGTTCTGGCTACTAGGTACGACATATATATATATATATATATATATATATATATATATATATATATATATATATATATATATATATATATATATATATATATATATATATATATATATATATATATATATATATATATATATATATATATATATATATATATATATATATATATATATATATATATATATATATATATATATATATATATATATATAACTGAAAACTCACACCCCAGAAGTGACTCGAACCCATACTCCCAGAAGCAACGCAACTGGTATGTACAAGACGCCTTAATCCACTTGACCATCACGACCGGACATAATGAGGTGATAGCCGAGGCTATTTGAACCACCCCACCGCCGGCACTCGGATAGTTATAACTATCCGAGTGCCGGCGGTGGGGTGGTTCAAATAGCCTCGGCTATCACCTCATTATGTCCGGTCGTGATGGTCAAGTGGATTAAGGCGTCTTGTACATACCAGTTGCGTTGCTTCTGGGAGTATGGGTTCGAGTCACTTCTGGGGTGTGAGTTTTCAGTTGCATATGTCCTGGGGACCATTCAGGCTTGTTCGCATATATATATATATATATATATATATATATATATATATATATATATATATATATATATATATATATATATATATATATATATATATATATATATATATCGGCGAAACATTGTTCGAGAAATGATCGAACGTCATCAGTTGTGACTGATAAATAAATAAAATAAATAAATAAAGAGTGAAATAAACCGTTTTTCATTCATAAACAAGGGATTTGGCGGCTGGATTAACAAGCATTTGGGCTTTGTTTATGAGAACGGGTTGTTTCTGTCCTGCCCAGGATTCGAACCCAGAATTCCCGATTGTGAGTCGAGAGTGACTCTGCTTGATTCTTATGTTCTTATGTTCAATTTAGTACATCAAAATAGTGACGTTGGGAACGCTCGAGAGGCCGAGCTGCTGGATCACCATCGAGAAATAATGGTTAATAATAATGATCTTTACACAGAAATTTGTGGCTTTTTATGCGGCTTAAAACTGTTGTCAGGTTACTAAATTTCTTCACGTATTTCCATATTGTGCAAGACTATTAACAAAAAACATCAGTATACTGGCGGTGTAAATAATAATACAAGAAAAAATCACAAAATTAATTATGGCGGCCTTGTAGGCAATTGTTTGATCTGTCTATTTTTGTTCATGCCATAATTATACGTTAAGTAAGCGAAATACATAATAACGATTCAGGAGTATAAAGTTCAAATTCAAATAACTTTATTGAAGTATAAATACAAACAAAAGGATAAGATAGCTGAAGCTATTCTCTCAACATTCTGAGTAATAAACATATACATTTCTTCCTTTACACAGTACAAAGTTAACATTAAAAATTCTTGCCATGATAGTAATCTCCGTGGCGCAGGGATAAAGCACTCGCCCGGCGCTTTGCGAGTGCATTGGCCTGGGTTCGTATCCTAGCCGGGGAGGATTGACTAAGCACCAATCCTTAACTGTACGCCTCTGTTCCCCCAGCAGTGAATGGGTACCAAGTTGTTAACTGATTTGGCGGGTCGTATTCCGGCGAAAATTAGGATTAAGGACCTGCCCGAAACGTGCTAAGAATGGCTTTACAAGAATGTAAGAACTCTTGTATATAAATATAATAATAATAATAATATTGGTAGTGGCAGACAGCCCGGTGACTTGCCTCAGTGTTGAGGAAGATCTGCCTCAGATACCGTCAATCTCTGCATAATACGCGCCCATCTCTGGTATTTAGTGTAATTATGGCGCTAGTTTGGTGGTCGTCAAGGCGCGAAGTTGCCGGTCACGGCGCGAGGTGGTGGTTGCGTCGCGAAGTGATGTTCGCGGCGTTTAGAGGTGCTCTCATCGCGAAGTGGTGGTCATGGTTTGAAGAGGTGGTCGTGGTGCGAGGTGGAGGTCATGGCGCGAGGTGGAGGTCATGGCGCGAGTGGTGGTCGTGGCGCGAGGCGGTGGTCGTGGCGCGAGGTGGAGGTCATGGCGCGAGGCGGTGGTCGTGGCGCGAGGCGGTGGTCGTGGCGCGAGGCGGTGGTCGTGGCGCGAGTGGTGGTCGTGGCGCGAGGCGGTGGTCGTGGCGCGAGTGGTGGTCGTGGCGCGAGGCGGTGGTCGTGGCGGAGGTCGCGGCGCGAGGCGGTGGTCGTGGCGCGAGTGGTGGTCGAGGCGCGAGGCGGTGGTCGTGGCGGAGGTCGCGGCGCGAAGGGGTGGTCGTGGCGGAGGTCGCGGCGCGAAGGGGTGGTCGTGGCGGAGGTCGCGGCGCGAAGGGGGGGGCGTGGCGGGGGTCGCGGCGCGAAGGGGTGGTCGTGGCGGAGGTCGCGGCGCGAAGGGGTGGTCGTGGCGGAGGTCGCGGCGCGAAGGGGTGGTCGTGGCGGAGGTCGCGGCGCGAAGGGGTGGTCGTGGCGGAGGTCGCGGCGCGAAGGGGTGGTCGTGGCGGAGGTCGCGGCGCGAAGGGGTGGTCGTGGCGGAGGTCGCGGCGCGAAGGGGTGGTCGTGGCGGAGGTCGCGGCGCGAAGGGGTGGTCGTGGCGGAGGTCGCGGCGCGAAGGGGTGGTCGTGGCGGAGGTCGCGGCGCGAAGGGGTGGTCGTGGCGGAGGTCGCGGCGCGAAGGGGTGGTCGTGGCGGAGGTCGCGGCGCGAGGTGTCACGCTGCAATATTGTGACTGGGGCCGGTGTCGCGTGACTCACCCGCCTCAGACACAGCCTCGGTATATTTATCCTCCCGGGCTATTTTGGAATTGACGTGAACTTGTAAGGTTAGCGCGGGTGAGGAAGGTGGACGGTGGAGAGGTGCGACAGTCATCCATAATAATGGCCAGACTGACGGGAAGACAGCAGCGGCGAAGGAAATAATAGACGGGAAGTGTTGTGGCGGCGGCAGTGAGAGTCTGGGCGGCGTCGGACGCAGCCCGTCTGGCCGGCCAGGAGCTGAGTTTATCATTCCCCCGACAAGACTATCTTTTCTATATTAATTACTTATTACTCCCACATATCATCCTTATCACTCTTGGAGTGACTAGAGTGATAACTCCTATGCTGTGTGGTGAGTGCGAATGCTGCTACAAATGTCGGATAAAATTAACCGGACATCATAAGCAGACGGGTGCAAGGTAAGCTATAATTGTCATATGGCATTTGCACACTTTTGGAAATATTTACGCAAATGTGAACCATTACGAAATATACATTTGACTTGATATATTATATCCAAAATAAATTCATTGCCTGGAAACAACGGTGTTATAAAAATATGGTTTGGTTGTGAGGTAATATAGGAGTAGACGTGGCAACAGCGCGGGTGGGCGGGGGAGGGGAGGAGAGGAGGAGGGGGGGAGGAAGAAGAGTAGAGGCTGGCGCGGCAGTGAGTGACGAGCCGCTGGAGAGGTAGGATGTACGTGCGCCGCGACCCAACACTGCAGTCAGTGCCGTGATCACCATGTTGTGCTAGTGCCAAGAGTGCCCAGTGTGAAGTAAATAGCCCTTATGGCGACACCGGACTACAGCCCGCACCTCAAGCGCGTGCTTAAATCCTACCAGAATGCAGCCATGACAAGTCTGCACGGGCCGGGACCTAACTCTTACCTGAGCGACGCCGGTATTAATAAAAAGTTGGTGGAGTGCGGTGAGGATCAGCCGTCCATCAGGCTCCTCGATGCCCACGCCAAGCACCAGATCTACCGAGAGCTCAGCTTCAAGAAGGCCCTCCTCTATGAGGATGCTCTCAAGAACAAGTCGGAGACGTGTAGGCGGTGTGTCGATGACAGCCAGTGTACGTGGCCACCTAGTCCGCCCACCACCCACACGCCCACCACCTGCACGCCCACACCCTGCACGCCCACACACAACACCCCAACCACCCAAACACCACCCAGCCACACGCCCACCAACAACACGCCCACCAACCACACGCCCACCAACCACACGCCCACCAACCACACTCCCACCAACCACACGCCCACCAACCACAAGCCCACCAACCACACGCCCACCAACCACAAGCCAACTTGTACAAGAGACCCCGAGCCTCGCTTGCCAGATATCAAAGACACTGCTGTAGATACTGCCACCACTGCCATCAGTTCCCCCACTGCCAGTGTCCGGTGCTCGGGCAGCGACACCTGCACCTCGGACACCACCACCACCACCACCTGCAGCAGTGGTGGTCCTGGCGGGTCGTGGGTGGAGCCAGGCATGTTCCTGGCCCCACCGCCCTTCCCTCCGCAGCCATGGCCGGTGCTCGCTGCTGCAGACAAGGGCTCCCCTGGGGCTGCCCGGGGGCGCCAGGAGACCCTGCTCGACGGGGAGCCCATCGCCTGCTTCAACGTGGGCGGGGAGAAGCGTTTGTGCCTGCCGCAGATCCTCAACACGGTGCTGCGGGAGTTTTCCCTCGGCCAGATTAACGCCGTCTGCGACGACCTGCGGATTTTTTGCTCGCGCTGCACGCCGTCGCAGCTAGACGCCTTGCGTGTGGCGGGCGTACTGCCCCATACTGCCAAGTCCTGTGGACTCATCACCAACACTGATGCCCAGAGGCTCACCCAAGCCCTGCTGCACGCCCACCCCACCCGCGCGCCCGCCCAGGCCCCGACACACTCGCAAGAACACCCACACCTGCGCGTCTACCACACCTGCTTTGGGAAGTGTAAAGGACTTGTGTGGGACGACCTGTACACCTCTGGCGGCGCCGCCTGCATCGAGTGCGAGGAGTGCCACGGACTCTTCCCCCCGGCCCGTTTCGTCTGCCACGCCCACAGAGCACTCGAAAACCAGACTATCCACTGGGGCTTCGAGGCCGAGCAGTGGCGCACCTATCTCCTGCTGGCTAAGGATCAGCAAGTGCCTCTGGAGAAGGCTGAGGTGCAACTCAAAGCTTTTAAGAACAAGTTTGATCCAGTTGGTGCCAATTACAAGCGCAAACAGGTGAGTACACCATAACAATTGGTTGTGTGTCTGATGTTAATTTGAGACTCGTGCCATGTATAGTCGTGACAACATTCGCGTAAAACATTGTTTCTGCTTGAAACAATTGTGCGCTAACTCTTGTATTATTGATCTGAACGTAAGTTATGGGTCTTGAGTGAGTGGAGGACATCAACCTAGCTCAATACTGGTGAGTTATTTGTGGTGAAGTTATTCACAGTGCGCCTCTTGTATTCTCACCTAGTTGTGCTTCGGCTCTGGTCCCACCTTTTATATATATATATATATATATATATATATATATATATATATATATATATATATATATATATATATATATATATATATATATATATATATATATTTAATTGTTCCACCGGAAAGTTTTTGTAAACAAATTTATTTTTATAAGAGGAGAACGGCAGTGAAGTCTGCCCCCTGCGCTCAGTCAGACGTTACTTCAATGTAACGTAACTTAACTTCACCCTACACAATATGCATTAATCCCTCAAATCCCAATAGTGGGTGGTTGCCAGGTCGTGTGGCTAGTCGACCCATCGAACAGTCGTACATTTAGAGAAGTTTTCGCATCCTCTAAATATCTTTAGATGATGGACGATATGAGATGTTGTTGTTGTTGTTTTAGATTCAGCTACTCAGAACAAGTTCCAAGTAGCACGGACTATGGTGAGCCCGTAGTGGACTTACCTGTCACAGGAGCGGGGCAAGTAGCACGGACTATGGTGAGCCCGTAGTGGACTTACCTGGCACAGGAGCGGGGCAAGTAGCACGGACTATGGTGAGCCCGTAGTGGACTTACCTGGCACAGGAGCGGGGCAAGTAGCACGGGCTATGGTGAGCCCGTAGTGGACTTACCTGGCACAGGAGCGGGGCAAGTAGCACGGGCTATGGTGAGCCCGTAGTGGACTTACCTGGCACAGGAGCGGGGCTGTAACTTTTTGGGTGTGAGACGTACAAGTTTGCTTGCATACATACAAGCGTGGTAATTGCCAGCATGCGAGCAGCAGGTCACCTTGCGGCAGCAACTCTCTTGTCTTCCTCTCACTCGTAGCCGAGGCCCCGTCACCACCCAGCCACGCACTCGTAGCCGAGGCCCCGTCACCACCCAGCCACGGACGGCTCCGCCCAGACAGACAGACATCCTTGGGAGCCAGACGGCTGCTCTCTGCCTGACTGCCTCCGCTTACCTCCCTACACTTACTTGCAAACGTCATTACCTAAAACATGCTCTCGTCATTACTTGCAACATGGATCTGCCACATGCTCCTGTCATCACCTGCCACATGCTCCTGTCATCATATGCTCCTGTCATCACCTGTCACATGCTCCTGTCATCACCTGTCACATGCTCCTGTCATCACCTGCCACATGCTCCTGTCATCACCTGCCACATGCTCCTGTCATCACCTGTCACATGCTCCTGTCATCACCTGCCACATGCTCCTGTCATCACCTGTCACATGCTCCTGTCATCACATGTCACATGCTCCTGTCATCACCTGCCACATGCTCCTGTCATCACCTGTCACATGCTCCTGTCATCACCTGTCACATGCTCCTGACATCACCTGCCTCATGCTACCTTACCTTGAGGTTACCTTGAGGTGCTTCCGGGGCTTAGCGTCCCCGCGGCCCGGTCGTCGCCCAGGCCTCCTGGTTGCTGGACAGGTCAACCAGGCTGTTGGACGCGGTTGCTCGCAGCCTGACGTACGAATCACAGCCTGGTTGATCAGGTATCCGTTGGAGGTGCTTATGTAAAGGGGGAATTGTATATGTTTATCTCTCAGAATGTTCGGCAATATGTTTATTGTTTGTGATGTGTGTCTATGTATGTATTAACACGTACTGAACGGGGTGAGAATAGCTTGAGCTACCTCATTCCTTTGTGTGTATTTTACCTCAATAAACTTATTTTAATTTCAATTTAAATTTCAATTTTGGAGGTGCTTATCCAGGTCTCTCTTGAACACAGTGAGGGGTGATCCAATTATGTCCCTTATGTGTAGTGGAAAGCGTGTTGAACAGTCTCGGGCCTCTGATGTTGATAGTTCTCTCTTGAACACTGTGAGGGGTCGGCCAGTTATGCCCCTTATGTGTAGTGGAAAGCGTGTTGAACAGTCTCGGGCCTCTGATGTTGATAGTTCTCTCTTGAACACTGTGAGGGGTCGGCCAGTTATGCCCCTTATGTGTAGTGGAAAGCGTGTTGAACAGTCTCGGGCCTCTGATGTTGATAGTTCTCTCTTGAACACTGTGAGGGGTCGGCCAGTTATGCCCCTTATGTGTAGTGGAAAGCGTGTTGAACAGTCTCGGGCCTCTGATGTTGATAGTTCTCTCTTGAACACTGTGAGGGGTCGGCCAGTTATGCCCCTTATGTGTAGTGGAAGTGTGTTGAACAGTCTCGGGCCTCTGATGTTGATAGTTCTCTCTTGAACACTGTGAGGGGTCGGCCAGTTATGCCCCTTATGTGTAGTGGAAGTGTGTTGAACAGTCTCGGGCCTCTGATGTTGATAGTTCTCTCTTGAACACTGTGAGGGGTCGGCCAGTTATGCCCCTTATGTGTAGTGGAAGCGTGTTGAACAGTCTCGGGCCTCTGATGTTGATAGTTCTCTCTTGAACACTGTGAGGGGTCGGCCAGTTATGCCCCTTATGTGAAGTGGAAGCGTGTTGAACAGTCTCGGGCCTCTGATGTTGATAGTTCTCTCTTGAACACTGAGGGGTCGGCCAGTTATGCCCCTTATGTGTAGTGGAAGCGTGTTGAACAGTCTCGGGCCTCTGATGTTGATAGTTCTCTCTTGAACACTGTGAGGGGTCGGCCAGTTATGCCCCTTATGTGTAGTGGAAGCGTGTTGAACAGTCTCGGGCCTCTGATGTTGATAGTTCTCTCTTGAACACTGTGAGGGGTCGGCCAGTTATGCCCCTTATGTGTAGTGGAAGTGTGTTGAACAGTCTCGGGCCTCTGATGTTGATAGTTCTCTCTTGAACACTGTGAGGGGTCGGCCAGTTATGTCCCTTATGTGTAGTGGAAGTGTGTTGAACAGTCTCGGGCCTCTGATGTTGATAGTTCTCTCTTGAACACTGTGAGGGGTTGGCCAGTTATGTCCCTTATGTGTAGTGGAAGTGTGTTGAACAGTCTCGGGCCTCTGATGTTGATAGAGTTCTCTCTCAGAGTACCTGTTGCACCTCTGCTCTTCAACGGGGGTATTCTGCACATCCTGCCATGCCTTCTGGTCTCATGTGGTGTTATTTCTGTGTGCAGGTTTGGGACCAGCCCCTCTACTATTTTCCACGTGTAAATTATTATGTATCTCTCCTGCCTGCGCTCAAGAGAATACAGATTTAGGCTCTTTAGTCAGTCCCAATAGTTTAGATGTTTTACTGAGTGGATTCTATTCTCAACGGTAACAACGTTCTCCTCGTAGTTTATAAATGGCTTCATAGTCGAATGAAATTTTTTATTTATATGGATGTGATAGAGTAAATAAGTATGGCGGCCTATATGAGGCTGTAAGACAAGAGCCTCTCAAACAAAAGTGACCCATATCAATACTTTATAAGTTGATACTTATAAAGTATCAACCTTACCTTGAGGTGTTTTCGGGGCTTGGGCCTTAACTAATGATGATACTTTATAAGTAAGTCTATAGGGCTTTCAGGGGTGGAATATTGTTGCACACTAACAGCCCCATTCAAAGCTGGAGAAGTTGCTGACCTAGAGAGAATACAGTCCAGTGTGCCCCCGTTACAGCACACTGGACTTGTGATCCTGTGGTCCCGGGTTCGATCCCGGGCGCCGGCGAGAAACAATGGGCAGAGTTTCTTTCACCCTATGCCCCTGTTACCTAGCAGTAAAATAGGCACCTGGGTGTTAGTCAGCTGTCACGGGCTGCTTCCTGGGAGTGGAGGCCTGGTCGAGGACCGGGCCGCGGGGACACTAAAAAAGCCCCGAAATCATCTCAAGATAACCTCAAGATAACCTCAAGATAACCCCTCTCTTGAGCGCCGCAACACCAATATATTATAGTTAAGCTTTGGCAGCAAATTATAGACCAGTTGCATTAACATCACACATAATTGCAATTTTTGAAAGAGTGATTAGGAATCATATTTCTAGTTTTATGGAAAATAATGAACTACACAACCCAGGACAACATGAATTTAGAGCGGGAAAATCCTGTGTCACAGTTACTCAACCACTATGACAAAATCACAGAAGCCTTAGAAGAAAAGCAAAATGCAGATGTTGTATACACAGACTTTGCAAAGGCATTCGACAAATGTGACCATGGAGTGATAGCTCACAAAATGAGGTCAATGGGAATAACTGGTAAAGTAGGACGCTGGATACTCAATTTCCTGTCGAACAGAACACAAAGAGTAACAGTCAACCATATAAAATAGAGTTTAATCGCAGTTAAAAGCTCTGTACCTCAGGGTACAGTCCTTGCACCACTGCTTTTCTTTATTCTCGTATCAGATACAGCTGGCCTTGGGGAGTAGAAGAACTCCCAGAACCCCATCAAGCAGGTATAGACAAAAATACAAGTCACAGCTTCGTATCATCGTTTGCAGATGGCACAAAAATCAGCATGAAAATTACCTCTGCAGAAGACATTGAAAAACTACAAGCCGATATTAAGATAAGTTTTCGACTGGGCACCAGAAAATAACATGATGTTTAATAGTGATAAATTCCAGGTACTCAGGTACGGTAAAAATGAGGACCTTAAACATAATACAGGTCGGACAGGGTACAAAACACGATCAAATCTGCCCAAAGTAGGAAAGCAACATGTAAAGGATTTAGGAATAATGATGTCTGAGGACCTAACGTTTATGGAGCATAACCAAGCAAATATTGCGTCAGCCAGAAAAATGAAAGAATGAATTACGAGAACTTTCAAATCCATTGTGGGATCCCATCACGATGGTTGTACTCTTCAAGTCACTTGTGTTGAATTGCAAGCAAGCATGAAGTGCAA